ACCGGCAAAAAATGGATTCCTTTGACCGATTTGATCTCTAGGCGGAGGTAGAAGTCGAATGAAAACCGGGTCTGGCAAGTAAGATGGATGTTCGAAAGGGGTAACGTTTTTTATTAAGCCACTTCGAGGAAAGAGTGGAGCTTTTTTAGTCGACTAATGCTTGATCATGTCCGATAGAAGATAAGAACACATCTATATTTGAATACAGGCCCACTTATATCTAATGAAGCAATCGATCCGAGCATTGTTAGACATGATGGTGTTGACACATTAAACCATGCGCTACCTGTCTGTTTGTTTCCGACTTCAATCTTTCTAATATATACATATATAATGTATAAATAGAATTCGTTACTCCTTTTTATGTCGGGCTCTCATAGGAAAATTTCGGATTGATACACTACATATGAAAGTTATGTCGCAGAAAAATCTGAATTTGTTTAACCCGGGGTTACTTGAAGTGCTTTTTATACTCCAATAGCGAAAAAATCAAGGTCAATCACAATAGCTTTGTTTACTCTGCTCGAGAATCCATACCTATTTTTTTATTTTTCCTTTCTTATAAAATGTTAAGAGTAAATCTTACACATAATTTCAAAGTCCACTCAAGTTTTTGTGTTAATTTAACACAAGATAAATATGTTAGAATAAAGTAGCACAAACTGTATGTAAATATTAACACACAAAGTGCAACATTTTATGTGCAACACATATGTTTTTAATAAAATTAATATTTATAATATGTAAAATTAAAAAATGTTATTCTTATCCGAATTAAAATTACAATTTAATATGAAATATTCGAATAATAATCACATTAAATTAACTCTCGATTATGTTATAAATTCAATATAAAAGTTTTAACAAGGATTTAGCTTTTACACAAGTATATTTTCGAAAAATTTCTAATTAAGAATACCTGAATTTTTTTTTAGTTAATGCCATGTTTCTGATAAAATTTACTGAAATTATTATTTTAATCAGAATAATTATATCAATCAAAATTCAAATTATCTCAACAAGAATTCTAATAGATAGATATAACCAGAAAATTTTAATTTATCCATTTTCCATCACTCATCAGAATTGCTATTTAATCCAACCAGATCATTTTTCTCAGAGTATAAAATATCTTTTATTGTATAGATAACTATTTCCGAATGAAGAAGATTCTATTAAATGGCACAAATAAATACTAAACCAAAATTTTTTAAACAAAATTTCATGCATTTAAATATACAGAACTACAACTATATATGATCAGAAGTAAAAAAAAAATAATTTACGCTACTGTTGTTGCTAGGATGCTTTTTCCTTTTTCAGAAGTTGTAAACATTTCTGCGATATTAACTTTCTCAAGAGAAATAAATATGATCAAAAAACACTTGTAATAATAAACCGGCCGCAGATACAATGTAATAAAAAACACCGTGCGACGTTTTTGCACACTCCACGTGCATTTTAGCTCGTCGCATCGCAGGATATAAAAGTCGTCTACGCGATTCTCTCGTGGTCGATGAATAAGCTTCATGACATCATCGTGCAAAGTGCTACGATAATTTGCCCCGATAATCACAATAAAGTTGCTGATTGTGATTTCTTTTTTATTCCTCTCATTATACTACCTCGGACCTCCCTCTGTATTTTAACTTAGCATTAATTCCTCTTCATGTCCCTGGCCCTTTTATATACTTCAATGCTCCACGATGGTTTCACGGAATTTATTTCCGCTCGATTACAGGCCGAGGAGCAGCAGCATCGCCGTCACTGCGAAGCCGTTCAAGATGAGGAGGACAAGAAAGCGGAAATCTATAATCACGTGACTGGAGATTTCCTCACCGAGGCTAGGGAACAGGCTGAGAGCACCCGCGGTCCGCACAAGCCGTTGACGGACCGATACAAGGGCATGACTACGGACGAGTTGAAGGTCTTCCGAGATGCTCAGTTGCAACAAATGGAGGAGATCAGTGTTAGTATGAACAGCGGAATTACTCTTTATCGTATCAACAATCCTGTCAATCTGCTCTGAGAAAAAAATTTACACGAAATCTTAATACATATTTTTTTTCAATAGTACCAACATTTACTTAGAGTAAATAAATAATTACTCAACAAAAATAATAGTTAAATCAAATTAATAGTGCTTATACGAAATAAATGTACCTACGTTTACATTTAGTAAATATTTAGTTAGTACTATTCAAATAAATATTTATTAAAATTTAATACACTTTTTCAATTTAGCTTCTTTTAACTGTTCAATAAAATGGAAGATATTAAAAAGAGGCCGATTTCTAAAAAAAATTTTGCAAATCAGATATAATTTATATTATACATATAATCATCTTGTAAATTATACGCCAACAGTAGACAAGAACTAAGTATGCGTCATTGATATTATTGATGATATTACGGCTGAATCATGGTTATACGTATTATAAATATATCTACATATGTTCGTAGATAATGTTAAAAAATAAAGTTATATTTGATACAAAATGTATTTGAAATATTTGTCGCAATTATAAATCTACACAAAATTATTAGTTTTAAGAACGCAAGGAAACTCGATCTTTTACAGAAAATCAAATTCGAAGAGAAATGCATCAACGAGACTTGGGATCGATTAATGGATTCGCACCTTCAAGCAGTATACTCGTATGACTGCGAATTAAATCAAAGAAAATCGTAAGATCCTAAAATTAATCTCGTATTTAATTTTTTTAAAATATCATTTAAAAACATATCTAAATGTATTCTATACAACAAAATTATTTTTAATGATATATATTTTAAAAGAAAATTATGATTTTTTAACTTGCTGCTTTAAAAATTCTTCGATATTAACAATTCGTTTATATTCAATATTTTTGTATGTGTAAACAATACTTTAAGAAGTGTAACAATACTTTAATGCCACTTTGTATTTATATTCTTTTAGAGAGCTCAACAAGAAAATTGCAGAAGAGAATTTGCAACTTGCTGAACAACAAAAGCAACATCAGGAATACTTGAACCGTTTTGTTTATAAACATCAACCAACAGCCGACTTCTACGAGCAATTTAACAAAGGAACACGTTGAATGCAATCACAGTTTTTGCATGTAATGTACTTTTTAAACAAAGAAAGCTCAATGTAGGAGTATATTCACACAACTTGCATAGCCGCATAGAAATATGCATAAAAAATTAATCCAAATTTTACATGCATCTTTATAAGAGAAATACGATTGGATAATTTTCTTTATACATATGTTTATGTAGCTACATAAATTTGTGCGAATATACCCTAATGATCGCAGACTTGCATATCACATAATGCATGGAGAGGGGATAACCACCTAATGTAATCGTGGGACAGAGTCCCTGCAATTATTATAAAATTCATATGAAATCCCTATGTATAATCCGATAATTGCAGGTACAACGAGGAATAATTGTATAACATCAGATAAAATTGTTTAAATCAAATAACCTCATATATAGTGAAAAGGATTGTTTTTCATCACATGAGGTCGTATGAAATCGAATGAAAATATGCGATCTGTGAGACAGTGTTTCGGCTGGTGGTTACCTCCTCGATGCATGGTGCATATAAGAGAAACAATCAATAAAAATTCTTCTTTTTTATAAAATAGAAGGAAAGGAAGAAATCTAATTGGTTGATTCGTTTATGCACTATGTGTTAAAACAAACTCTAAATAACTAAAAAATAATTTCGTAAATTTCCCTCCTCTTTCTCTTTTGTAGATCGATACACCAAATTCTACCATATCGACAAAGTAGATGCGCATACAATTTTCACATATCTACAAATACTTTCTATAGTTGTACAAAAATTGTATAAAATTGATAAAATATATTTTAATTAGTAAATGCAAATTGAATTTATCGCGATTAATAAAAAAAATTGTAATATTGTAATATTATCCAATGTCGGTAATGAAAAAAGTAGTTGCTCTATTGATATTCGATCCCTGTCGATAAGTTATCATATTTGGTAAATACATCAGTGATAATATATTATATAATAGATCGAGTAATAAATTTTAATGCAATAACAACAATACGTAAGATAATTTATGTTATCACAATAATACTTGTAAATATACGCAAATTCAGGCATAAAAATACAATGCAAGAGCTGATAAATAAGAACTTACAAAATAAGATATGAGATATATATTTCAATTGATTCAGTTGAATGTTGAATCATTTTGACATGATAAGATTGTGTTATATACACGTACAATGTCCTTGTCATGATGTCCTCGTCATTAGTTTCGATTGTCAAACAGAGCTTAATATATCACAGATGCAGTATTTATATTCATATTCATATACTTTATATAAAATTAATCCATTAAATATCCTAGAATATTCTATCATTTTATAATTGTAATTATTTCAACATAGCGTCCTTGTTAATTTACATCTGTATATATATATATATATATAT